CAGGCAAAGGAGTAGAATTGAATAAATGGAAGGCAGAATTAATGAGATTGAAGGCAAATACCTCAATACTTCTTTGGAAAGGGATCAATCAGAAAAAAGATCAAAACAAAATAAAGAAAGCCTAGGGTTCATGTGTGATACCATCAAAAGGAATAACCTGTGTAATCAGAATTCCAGAACAGGAAGGGACAAATAAAACCACAGAAAAAAATTGTCAAAGATTTGTTGGAAGAGAATTTTCCTGGTATGATGAAAGATGAAACTGTATCCATTCAAGACGTCCAACGAACCCTAAACAGGATAGACCCCAAAAGAAAATCCCCAAGACATATCATCACCAAAAACCAAAAATAAAGAATCCTGAAAGCGGCATGGGAAAAATGAAAAGTTACCTACAAAGGGCAGCCAATCAGACTAAGCTCAGATTTCTTGGCAGAAACCATGCAGGTGAGAAGGCAATAGGATTGTGTATATAAAACCCTGAAAGAGAAAAATTTCCAACCAAGCATTATATACCCAGCAAAATTGTCCCTCAAATATGATGGTGACATTTCCAGATAAGCAGAAATTAAGAGAATCTGTTAAAACCAGACTAACCTTACAAGAGATGCTAAAGGGAGTCCTTTGGACAAAGAACCAACAACAGCAAACAACTGACCATTAACACACATGATGACATAACCCAGAAACCAACTCATTTGTAGAAGTATCCAAAGTAAATAAGCCTACAAGATTGTAAACAGGGAACCAGAGACATCAATTGACAAATGAGGACAAGTACAAACCAAAAAGAGGGAAAAAAAATTGTGTAGTTACACAACTTCTAATGGTAGGAAAGTCAAGACAACTACAAGATAGAATGGACTGTTCTAAACTTGGGAAGAAAACTATAAATCACAGGGTAACCTCAAAGGAAAATGATAAACCTTCATATCAAAATAAAAAAGGACCAGCACAAATATTTAGCAATGCTGAAACAGTAACACCAAAGGAAGTGATAACATGATTCATAAGCAAAACAAGCTCAGCACAGAAAATTATATGGAACAAAGAACTCAACACCACAAAAAAGCACATAACAAAATGACAGCAACAAATTCATACTTGTCAATAATTATGTATCTGACAAGGGACTTTTCTCTAAGATTTATAGAAAACTCCAGTGCCTCAACAGCAAAGGGATTAATAATCCAATCGAAAAATAGGTGGAAGACATGAATAGACACTTCATTAAGGAGACTACTCAGGCGGCCAGCAAATACATGAGGAGATGCTCATGATCATTGGCTATCAGAGAGATGTAAATCAAAACAATAATGAGATACCATCTCACCCCAGCACTGTGGCAGGGTTCAACAAGACAGAAAATAACAAATGCTGGTGGAGATAGGGAGAGATTCGGACTCTCATACACTGCCCATGGGACTGTGAAGTGGTACAACCACTGTGGAAAGCAGTATGACGATTCCGTGGAAAGCAGTATGGCGTTTCCTTAGAAAGCTGGAATTGGAGATACCATTAGACCTAGCAATCCCATTACTAGGTATACATCCTAGAGAGGTGAGAGCCAGGGCAAGAGCAGATATGTGCACACCCATGTTCATCGCAGCACTGTTTACAATAGCAAAAAGATAGAAACAACCTACAGGCCCATCAACAGAAGAGTGGATGACCAAACTATGGTACATACACACAATGGAATGCTATGCAGCACTAAAGAATAATCTAGAGTCTTCAAAACACTGCATAATATGGATGAACTTGAAGGACATTATGCTGAGTGAAATAAGTCAATCACAGAAGGACAAATGTAGTATTAATTTGTTGTTGTGGAGGGTCAATGAAAGGTTTATATATGGACAGAAACTCTTTGTTCATTGCCAGGGGTGGGAGGGGAGGGAAGGAAACTGCAAAAAAAAAAAAAAAAAAAAGGAACATTAAAAAAAAAAAAAAAAAAAGAAACATTGACCCATGTCACTTTAGTTTTGTGTATTTCACTGTACATAAATTATATTTCAATAAAATGCATTTTTAAAAAATACTGATCATAGTTTAATATTTAGAATATTTACTATGTGCCAGGCACTATTCTAGGTACATTACTATATTAACCCATTGAATCCTCACAACAACTCTGTTATGTGGGTATTTTGTTCCCATGTTACAGGTGAAGATACTGAGGCAAAAAGCAATTAAGTTATGTGCCCCGCTCACATGCCCTGTAAATAGCAGAGCTGGGCTGTGAACTCCAGAATCCATGCTACAACAGTGCCATTATACAGCCTCTCAGGAAATGAAGCAGTGTGTGATCTTGGGCATGGAGTCCCTAGATGGTCCAGTTTATATCTTTGGCTGCTAATCAAAGTGGTGGAAGTTCAAGTCTGCCTAGATGTGTCTCAGAAGAAAGGCCTGGTAATCTATTTCCACAAAATCAGTCATCACAAACCTTTTGCACCACAGATTACTCTGACACACATGAGTTGGAATGATTTGAATTGGAATGGACTTGACAGCAACTGATAAGCGGTCTTGGTCATGACACTGATAGCGTAGTATGCTGTCGAGTGGATTCTGGTTCACAGAGACCCTATAGGACAGAGTAGAACTGCTCCATAGGTTCCCTACGCTATAATCTTCACAGGTGCAGACCGCCAGGTCTTTTCTCCCACACAGCCACTGGTGGGATTAAACCACCAACCTATGAGTTAGCAGCTGAGTGTTTAACCATTGGGGCCTGATAATCTGGGTCATCCATTCATGGCATCATCTGGGATTTCTGCCTGTCATACAATGTCTATCAAAGTCTGCAGTAAGTGAGATACGATACAGAGATGAATGGGGCACTAGCCCTGACTGCCATAACTTCAGGATGCAGCAGGTGAGGCCATGTTCAAAACAAAAGCCAGATTACAAGTCAGAAGTTTATACCAGAGTAAGAAACAACGTGCAACAGAAAGGAGAAGAATGATTCTGCCTCAGGGATCTGAGGAGACCATTATATGGCATTTGAATTGGAGCTGCACAGGTTTGTTCTAGACTAAAGGGAATAGGAGCAAGACAGGAAGGGGGTGGCCCAGGGAGGAGGAGTCACTGTGCGGAGTGTGGAGCACATGAGTACTTCTGTCTGTCCAACTGTGTGCTCCTGGCTGCACCACAAAAGCGTTTATTGTTATTGAGAATGGTGGGGTGGATTATGTAGCGGTCAGCCACTATTTGATTAGCCTTGCTCCTTCTGCTTGAGTATGGAAGAGTTAATTATTCTTGGTGAGGTCAAAAAATTGAAGAATTTTCAGAGATAGTTGGAGAACTTTATTGTTCCCTGTGGTGGTGTTAGCGTGCTTCACTTGGTAGGCAAATGAATACGTGTGACATTTGGCACCAAGTAAAGGAATAAGTGGGAGCTCTGGTATCATAATGCCTAAGGCATTCGACTGCTAACCAGAAGGCTGGCGGTTCAAACCCATCAGCCACTCTTCAGAAGGAAGATGGGGCAATCTACTTCCATAGTGATACTGCCTCAGAAACCCAAGGAGGGGTCGCCATGAGTCGGGTCCGACTTGACGGCACATAACAACAACACAACAACAAAGGAATAAGTCACCCATCTGGTTCAGTCAGTAACCAGAAAGTGAGCAAAAAGTGCCTCAGGTGCCCTAAATATCCCAAAGTCCTTGAGCTAGAGCTCTGTTGGTAGGGTTCTTTGCCCAGGGGAGCCAACAAAACTTAACCTTTTATCCTTTTCTTACCCACTTAACAAGTTGTTTATCTGGTGTCTTAGTCTTCATCAAATGACTAACCAGTTATAAAAGAGGGACTGGTAAAGGCAGAGGGATCCCTAGTGGCAAGTGGTTACAGCTTGGCTGGTAACCAAAAGGTCAGGAGTCCGAACCCACCAGCTGTTCTGTGGGAGAAAGGACCTGGAACTCTGACCCCTTAAAGATTACAGCCTAGAAGATCTTATGGGGCAATTCTGCACTGTCGTATATGGAGTCTCTGTGAGTTGAAAGGGGAGCTCCGGTGGCATAATGCCTGAGGCATTTGACTGCTAACCAGAAGGCTGGCGGTTCAAACCCACCAGCCACTCCTCAAAGGAAGGTTAAGCAATCTACTTCTGTAGAGATAATGCCTCAGAAACCCAAGGAGGGGTCACTATGAGTTGAAATCAACTCAAGGGCCATGAGTTTGGTTTTTTTTTGTTTTGTTTTGTTTTTAAATGAGTTGAAAGAGGAGCTCTGGAGGCAAGTAGTTAAAGCACTGGGCTCCTAACTATAAGGTCAGTGGTTCAGATCCACTAGACCACTTTGGGAAAACGATGTGGCAGTCTGCTTCTGCAAAGATTTACAGTCTTGAAAGCCCTATGGGGCAGTTCCGCTGTCCTGTAGGGTCACTATGAGTCAGAATCGACTTGATGACGTTGGGTGTGGATGAGTTGGAAATGACTCAACAGCAAATAACAACAAGTACGGGCAGACAACACAGTGAGGGGAGAAGAATGACAGGAGAGGAGGAAATGAAAAACCAATCAAAAGCCCAGCATCGTGGCCCTTCAGTGTGGTGGTTGAACGCACCACACTGGACACACCACAGAAGCCTGGGGCTGTGCTACTGTATGTCACAGCAGGTTAATTCATGTCTGTCAAGATGTTCTTGAGTCACTGTGTCTGGTTTAGGCCTTTTCAGACGTAGGAAAGTATATTGTATATTCCATAGAGGTTTCCTTCCAAAATGGTTAGAATGGAAGCATGAGAACGTGCTCTCTGAAGCCCGGTGACCATGCTCTCTGGCGTGATTCTCTCTTAGAGGGAGCAGGGGAGCCAGGCATCCCTGTTTGTGTGTTGATGTGGGGAGCTGGGGGAAACTTGCACAGCGAGTTGTGCCTGAGTCTGGTTCTCTCCACAGCCATGAGACACCATGCTGGGCTGTGACAGTGGGGCTGTGAACACTGCAGGGCCTCACACACCGTCAGTCATTTTAGCTGAAATGTTTCCCCTACCCCACAGGAGGGCCACACAGAAGAGCCGGAAGCAGAAGAGCAAGTCCATGAACAGCAGCCTCCGCAGCAGGAAGAGTATTGAACCGTCTCGGCAGCTCTTGACACTTCCATTTTGTGTGGGAACTTTTCTTCTGGAGAATTGGAACATGTGTGGCCTCAAGCTCAACAGAAACCAGTTGTTTCCGATCTGCCGTTAGCATCAACACACTGTTGCATCCGCCAGCCACTGCGCTCGGTTCCCATTTACTTTGCCAAGATGCGTTAGCAGATGGCAGTTCTGGCCGTCTACCTGAGAGATTGTAGGGTCACATACCTTCAACTTCATCACTTGGCTGCTTCAGATTGGTTCTGCTCTTTTCTTCATCTCTGTCCAGAACAACTCTCCCTACCCCTCTACCACCTCTACCACCCCCTTTCTCTCCTGGTGTGAAACAATGGTAATTTGGTATATGGTATTTATATTGGCATTTCTCAACCCAGTGTCACTAGTTGTCACATGCATTTGTGGTGCTTTGGTGTTTGCAAGTCTAACCTCTGAACGTAAATTGGGTCATATAAGAAATTGGAACAAAGGGAAACAGATAGTGGATATGAAAGCCATATGACAGTGACTTGTTTCATGGGAGGAAACCCAATGTCAGTTTCTCCCTCTGCTCACATCATAAAAGGGAAAAAATGAATTCCAAACAAGGACTTCAGGGCCCGGCAGTGTTCGTTCTTCAGCATGTTAGACCACCACACATAATTGTTTCTTTTGAAAGGCATTCACTCAAGGAAAACGCCATCTACACCATCTCAACTTTGCCCTCTGCCCCGCTGCCCCCGTTCTCCCCCCGCCCCCTCCCCAGGTTCTCATGCGATTTTCTTTCTCAGGGTCCTCTTTGGTGGGCAGCCACTTTTCCCGAGATGCTGTCATCATGGTCTGCAGTCCAAAGGGGGTCGGGTAGGTGCAGGTGCTCCTGCCTCTGCCCTTCCCAGCCCTCCTTAGATGGGTTTCCACCCAAATCCTGGCATTCACAATAGGGGATTCCTCTTAAAGAATGGCTTAGGGTGTGCAGCCGGGTTTTTCGGGGTTCTGTGTCATGTGGCACACTTTCTGGAAGGCTGGAAGTGAAGGTATGATGAGTAGAAGCCTAATTCCAAGGGGCAGCCATGATTCTGGGTGTGGACACTGGAATGACAGCACAGGAAAATTCATGACTCCCAGTACCTTCAGAAATAAGGAATTTCCCCTCTTGAATTCAGGGCCCTCTTGTCATTGACTTACGCTAAACAGTGGCAATTCATAAACATAAGAAACATTAATGAATTAAAAGCATTCCTTATTTTTTTAACTAATATTTGCACATTTTCTTAGTCTCTCTTCCAAATCTTTGCCCTTCCCCTCCCCCTGCAACAGACGGTATCCCTTCCTGGATCACTCATTTCACTTGGTCTCTAACTGAAGATTTACTTTCACTTATTATTTGACTTAGCAGTTGCAACAAAAAACAAGAAACAAATGTGCCCACCCCACTTTCTGCATAACTGAAAAGCTAAAATAAATGTCTGAATTACATCTCATAAAGCTTTGAAATTTCTTTATTAATTGATGAAATTCTAATTCTAAACTCTAGCATGGAAGCTTTTCACCAAAAGAAATCTTCTCCAAATAAGTCTTTTGCAGCACAGTGGTACCTGTTGAGTTACATGTGGAAAAGGTTGCTTGTAGTTTTGAGTCTGCACGACACACTGCAGAACTGCACTGATGTGTGCTGTTTGCTTCCCTTGCTTCTCTCTCCTGCTTCCTCTGCACAGCAGCAGCAGCTCATTTCTCTGAGGCTGGAAGGCCTGGCTCTCGGCAGTGACATCCTCCCACACCTGGGTACAGGTAGTGGCTGTGCTGTACACAGCATCCACAGCGTCTGCTTCCTGGTGTGTTTCCCTCCTGAGCCTGTCATGCTCACTGACTTTCTTTTTGCTTTGTATGTCTTGCAAACAGGCCCAGCAAATGATTCCATGCAGACAGTGCTTCCTCTGCAACTCTTCGCCTATCCTGAGCATCTCAGTGATACACAGTGCCAGGTGGATCACTACCAAAGCTCCCCTTTCATGTGGATGCCATGAATGGCATAGCAGGGAGTCAGGATCCTGTCTTCTCCACTTGATGCTTTGTCATTTGCCTAAGCCTCACCCATGACATTCTCTGGAACCAATCCAGTCTTCCCAACTTCCCCATCCTTCTCAGCAGTAAACATACTGGCCAGCTATCTGGCAAAGAGAACTTTCCCCCATCATCATATTTTGTTAACCTTCCTGAAATTTTGGGGCAGATTGTCCATTTATGTAGAGAAGAACTATAAACCCTCTCCCTGTCCCTAATCCAAGCATTCTACTGTGTGCATCGCAGGTGACGTCATCGATGCTTGGGGACGGGACTCTTCAGCAGCTACATTTCTAAGTCCCTCCTCTCCTGCAGTTCCAGCCTCTGTACTCATTGTCCTGGCTCCTTTGTCCTTCATGATGGTCCCCATCATTCTCAGACCCCATCATTCTTGCCTCTCAGCATGCAGGGCATGCTTTCCTCCATGGCCACCCAGCTGGCACTCATCGTGCTGGGCCCACAATTCCCGGTGGTGTGCTGTCTTCCTTCCTCTCAGCAAGCCAGACTTCATTGCCGGTCTTCCACCCCCACCACCTGTCAGCCAGTTATAGCATATCTACTACTAAAGTCAGATAGGAAGTGATTGAAGCAGAGGGCAAAGAGAAAGTCTGTGTTCTTTCTAAGCAGAAAAAGAAAATGCAAAGACAAACACCCTGTTGGCCCGAGAGAAGTAAATTCCAGAAGGGAACCAAGACTCCTTTCCCTGGTGAGTATTCCCATTATTCCGTTAAGGTTTAATATGCATTCAAATTACTTTTACTAAATAGTACACCATAAAGCTTTTGTTATATATTAAATGTAAACTGAAAGGAATGTAAACATATGTATTGTTAATTATAAATATAGATAAGTAATGACACAATAGATCAAAAAGTCTTATTCAGATGTATCACATTCATTTTACATTACCCACCTAGTGTCGCATGGTAGAATAGGTTTTTGTCTCTGAATCTGTGAATAACTTGACTTGCGTTTACCTTTTTACATATTTAATAAAAAAAAAAAGTATATGTTAAAACCTGCCTGAGTCTATATAGATTGTTACATTTTTATGCTAAGGTTTCCCTTTTTGAAATTTTTTTTTTAGGGAGCAAGTGTGTATATGAATAGATTATTTGTATGGATTCACTAATCTACCCACATTTTGTTGGAGGGGAGCTTTTTTTTTAATTCACAACATATGTTTTAACAGGAATTACAGAGTAATGTTGTACATCAAATATAGCAGCTGTAATGCTTTTTAAGAACTTTACAAAAAAAAAAGATAAACCATTCCCTGGAGAAATGCTGCACTTGCAGGGAAACAACACCATGGCCACTCCAGGCCCAGCCTGTCCATCAGGTCTGGATTGGAGTGGGCCAAGAGGAAACGGGAGGAAGGGGACAGGTAGGTGTTTAAAGCTTTGTGGCAGAATGACCTGTGACTGGCAAAAGCTCTTTGGGTAAGTATATCACCCCCTCTTATTTGTTGACTTTAAGCAGGGGCAGTTTATAGACATAAGATATAAATAGAATCCAAAATTTATATAAGCACAGGAGTAGGTGGGAAAAAATGTATTAAAACAAGCCCCAAGACCCACTTGTAGAGACTGTGTAGGCCAGGTTACAGTCTGTTGAACACTTTGCCCTGGAATTTGCAGGTTACTGAGGTTCAGCCAGTAGGCTGGAGGATGCCAGCCTTCCCTGAACCGTTTTCAAGCACCACCTAGAGGTCAGTTTTGTTTCTAAACTATCCTTTGGCAACTCTTTCCCATTCACTTGACATTAGGCATTGTTGTTTTGTTTTGTTTTAAAGAGCAGACCAAAACTCCAAACCAGACTCACTGCCATCAGGTTGATTCAACTCATAGCGACCCCTCCTTAGGTTTCCGAGGTGGTTTCTCTGCGGAAGTAGGTTGATTGCCCAGCTGTCTTGCCGAGGAGGAGTCATTGGTGGGTTTGAACTGCCAGCCTTCTGGTTAGCAGAGGAGGGGGAAGATAACCAAAGACACAAAGTTCCTGCAACTTTTCTGCAACTGAATTTGTTTCTCCCAGAATCCTTTTGTGACAGAAGCCTGTGAGCCATTACCTGAGTTGTGTTTGCATCTAATTCACCAGGCATGGGCTTTGAACATGGAATCTTACCCTTAGACATTTATGCACCAATCATCAAGAATACACATAAGGCAGCTTCCTTGAAAGGTACAAAGGTGAATGCTAGTGCAAAAAGGATAAGGAGGCCACATGTTCTGACCTCCTCTAATCCCACAAGAGGAAGACAGAATCACCATCAGTAGCCCAAGGCCTATTCCTGCGAGGCCAGACATGCTGCCTCCCTCCAGCCCCTTTCTCCAACCGTTCCTCCCAAAGCACCCACCACCTCTCTCCTGGGTTCGATAATTTGCTGTAGTGGCCACACAGAACTCACAGATTATGGGGTTTATTAGGGAAGCACCAGGCTACAATTCAAGTTCAGGAAAAAACGCTCAGTCTCTCCCAGCCCACCGTCTCTCAGCCAAGTCTCTCACAGTCTCTCCCCCAGCAGTGCATGTCCCTCGGTGTCTTACTCAGCAATGCGTGTCTCCTGCGTCTCCTTCCCAGCAGCACGTGTCTCTTTCGGGAGCGCGTGTCTTTTTCAGCAGCACGTCTTCCTCAACCAGTAGTCAGAGAGTTCTGCCTCTAGGAGGCCTCCTTTTGAGCCCAGCAGAGTGGTCAAACTAGCCAATCATAGCATCAGAACTCTAAGTACCTGAGAGAGAGTGGGAACCTCCCAGAACACTGTTTTGTGCCACTCCCAACAGAAATACTCCAGGTGGACAACTTCAGCAATCAGAAGCTCCTCGGTTGCTCATAGCAAATCACCAGGCAGATCACCAGGTCTTTCTTCCAGGGAGCTGCTGGTGGATTTGAACCATCGACCTTTTGGTTAGCAGATGAGTGCATAACCATTGTGCTATCAGGGCCACTTAGTAGTTTACAAAGACTTTTGGGTAGAAAAGCCACACACTAAGTAATTTACTTCACAGCAGCTAGTAAACACACATCACTAATGGTTCAAATGTGGTGGAGTAAAATGTTCCACTATACTAAGTCTGAGATCCTGAGATCATCTCTAAAAATTTACTGTGCTCCTACTGGTATTTTGAGTGGTCTCAAGAGTCAAGAGACAAAAGTTAATGGGATTCTACTAATTTCGAGTTATAAAATAGCAGTTCTCTAAAATTAAACCACACACAACTTACTTTCTGACCTTTCTTATCCTCCTCTCACCTCTCAACTACTAAGTGGCCCTGATAGCTCAATGGTTATGCACTCATCTGCTAACCCAAAAGGTCGATGGTTCAAATCCACCAGCAGCTCCATGGAAGAAAGACCTGGTGATCTGCTTCCATTAAAGATTACAGCCTAGCAAACCCTGTGGGGCAGTTCTACTCTGTTATATGAGGTCACTGTGAGTCAAAATGGACTTGATAGCAAACAAAAACTCTAACTGCTAGAACACACCTAGCATGATCATGAAGTCCGCCATCACTGCTAAACACTTAGTGGCCCTATTTCTCAACACTAATGCATGTGCCAGACAGCACAGTGTCAGATCAGAGCATCTCCCTGGATGTTTTGTTGAAAAGGAAACTCATAAGAGACAATCTCTGTCCACTGGAAAGAGCACTGGTTGTTTTACCTCCAGGAAGGCAGAGCTTAAACAGGGACCATCATGTCCTTGAGGACCCTCAGGTGACACCAGGACTTCAGCTTACAAGGATGGCCCAAGAGCAGCCCACTCCAAACTCTGAACAGACCCCACATATCATTAACTAGTTAGGGCTTACGCAGGAGCTGCATTTGGTGAAGCCAGGCTTGCTTGTGGGTTAGGCTTAGGATTGTAATCAAAACAGAAGACCCAGCTGAAATTAATTTGTTGGATGCCTTTTTAGAAAGGCATTCAACTTAAAAAATTCCAACTTAGAAATTTCATTCCACTAAAATAACATGTTTTTTATTTAAAATAACATGCCTTTTTAGCTTGCCAATTTTTAATTTCCTAAACAGGTTTCTTGTGTTATGTTGTAACTATTCTGTCAAGGCTGGGTATAAATTGTGTGTAATGACATTAATGGACATTTGAAGTTACGATAGTCAATAGGAACTAGCCCATTACCTAAATGTGTTCTTTTCCAAAGAATAAAAAAATTAAATACACATTTCTTTCTGTGTAGCAAATGCTCCTAATATCTTTACACTAGAGTATTTCTTTACATCTTAAAGGTTATCTGTATAATGTCTTAGTTACCTAGTGCTATTGTAACAAATATCATAATTGTTGTTCTTAAGTGCCATCATGTCGGTTCTGACTCACAGTGACCCTGTGTGCAACAGAACAAAACTGCCCAGTCCTGCACCATCTTCACAGTCCTTGCTATGCTTGAGCCCATC